GGTGCGTGAGAGATGGGTGGGCCATGCGGGCCACAGATGGAAGAAGTCAAATCAAGGGAGGGAGGGAGCGACAGAGGAGGGGAGGGAGCGTGCATACTGCATGTGCTGTGCCAGACGCGTTGTGATTCCATTCCACCCTACCAGGACCACAAGTGTACGCCCTAAAGCATCCCTCATTAGTAGGAACCTCACTACACTAATAACACCGCACTCTAACAGGACCTTGTTGCAATCTCCTCGCCAGCGATACGACTAGAGAAGAGATTCTCCTCAGGTTCTGCTCTAGCTTGAATGAAAACGAAACGGCCTCAAAAGCTTGATAAGCAACCAGGTTGATAAGCAACCAGGTTGATAAGCAACCAGGTTGATAATCAACCAGGTTGATAAGCAACAAGGTTGATAAGCAACGAGGTTGATAAGCAACCAGGTTGATAAGCAACCAGGTTGTGTTACATCCTGACTCATGTTTCGAAGGGCTGCAGTAGCAGAGAGGACGCTTTTGGTATCCCAGGGGTCACCCTGACTGACTCATGTTTCGAAGGGCTGCAGTAGCAGAGAGGACGCTTTTGGTATCCCAGGGGTCACCCTGACTGACTCATGTTTCGAAGGGCTGCAGTAGCAGAGAGGACGCTTTTGGTATCCCAGGGGTCACCCTGACTGACTCATGTTTCGAAGGGCTGCAGTAGCAGAGAGGACGCTTTTGGTATCCCAGGGGTCACCCTGACTGACTCATGTTTCGAAGGGCTGCAGTAGCAGAGAGGACGCTTTTGGTATCCCAGGGGTCACCCTGACTGACTCATGTTTCGAAGGGCTGCAGTAGCAGAGAGGACGCTTTTGGTATCCCAGGGGTCACCCTGACTGACTCATGTTTCGAAGGGCTGCAGTAGCAGAGAGGACGCTTTTGGTATCCCAGGGGTCACCCTGACTGACTCATGTTTCGAAGGGCTGCAGTAGCAGAGAGGACGCTTTTGGTATCCCAGGGGTCACCCTGACTGACTCATGTTTCGAAGGGCTGCAGTAGCAGAGAGGACGCTTTTGGTATCCCAGGGGTCACCCTGACTGACTCATGTTTCGAAGGGCTGCAGTAGCAGAGAGGACGCTTTTGGTATCCCAGGGGTCACCCTGACTGACTCATGTTTCGAAGGGCTGCAGTAGCAGAGAGGACGCTTTTGGTATCCCAGGGGTCACCCTGACTGACTCATGTTTCGAAGGGCTGCAGTAGCAGAGAGGACGCTTTTGGTATCCCAGGGGTCACCCTGACTGACTCATGTTTCGAAGGGCTGCAGTAGCAGAGAGGACGCTTTTGGTATCCCAGGGGTCACCCTGACTCATGTTTCAAAGGGCTGCAGTAGCAGAGAGGACGCTTTTGGTATCCCAGGGGTCACCCTGACTGACTCATGTTTCGAAGGGCTGCAGTAGCAGAGAGGACGCTTTTGGTATCCCAGGGGTCACCCTGACTGACTCATGTTTCGAAGGGCTGCAGTAGCAGAGAGGACGCTTTTGGTATCCCAGGGGTCACCCTGACTCATGTTTCGAAGGGCTGCAGTAGCAGAGAGGACGCTTTTGGTATCCCAGGGGTCACCCTGACTCATGTTTCGAAGGGCTGCAGTAGCCGAGAGGACGCTTTTGGTATCCCAGGGGTCACCCTGACTGACTCATGTTTCGAAGGGCTGCAGTAGCAGAGAGGACGCTTTTGGTATCCCAGGGGTCACCCTGACTCATGTTTCGAAGGGCTGCAGTAGCAGAGAGGACGCTTTTGGTATCCCAGGGGTCACCCTGACTCATGTTTTGAAGGGCTGCAGTAGCAGAGAGGACGATTTTGGTATCCCAGGGTCACCCTGACTCATGTTTCGAAGGGCTGCAGTAGCCGAGAGGACGCTTTTGGTATCCCAGGGGTCACCCTGACTCATGTTTCGAAGGGCTGCAGTAGCAGAGAGGACGCTTTTGGTATCCCAGGGGTCACCCTGACTGACTCATGTTTCGAAGGGCTGCAGTAGCAGAGAGGACGCTTTTGGTATCCCAGGGGTCACCCTGACTCATGTTTCGAAGGGCTGCAGTAGCAGAGAGGACGCTTTTGGTATCCCAGGGGTCACCCTGACTCATGTTTTGAAGGGCTGCAGTAGCAGAGAGGACGCTTTTGGTATCCCAGGGGTTACCCTGACTGACTCATGTTTCGAAGGGCTGCAGTAGCAGAGAGGACGCTTTTGGTATCCCAGGGGTCACCCTGACTGACTCATGTTTCGAAGGGCTGCAGTAGCAGAGAGGACGCTTTTGGTATCCCAGGGGTCACCCTGACTCATGTTTTGAAGGGCTGCAGTAGCAGAGAGGACGATTTTGGTATCCCAGGGGTCACCCTGACTCATGTTTCGAAGGGCTGCAGTAGCCGAGAGGACGCTTTTGGTATCCCAGGGGTCACCCTGACTCATGTTTCGAAGGGCTGCAGTAGCAGAGAGGACGCTTTTGGTATCCCAGGGGTCACCCTGACTGACTCATGTTTCGAAGGGCTGCAGTAGCAGAGAGGACGCTTTTGGTATCCCAGGGGTCACCCTGACTCATGTTTCGAAGGGCTGCAGTAGCAGAGAGGACGCTTTTGGTATCCCAGGGGTCACCCTGACTCATGTTTCGAAGGGCTGCAGTAGCAGAGAGGACGCTTTTGGTATCCCAGGGGTCACCCTGACTCATGTTTCGAAGGGCTGCAGTAGCAGAGAGGACGCTTTTGGTATCCCAGGGGTCACCCTGACTCATGTTTCGAAGGGCTGCAGTAGCAGAGAGGACGCTTTTGGTATCCCAGGGGTCACCCTGACTGACTCATGTTTCGAAGGGCTGCAGTAGCAGAGAGGACGCTTTTGGTATCCCAGGGGTCTTCCTGACTGACTCATGTTTCGAAGGGCTGCAGTAGCAGAGAGGACGCTTTTGGTATCCCAGGGGTCACCCTGACTCATGTTTCGAAGGGCTGCAGTAGCAGAGAGGACGCTTTTGGTATCCCAGGGGTCACCCTGACTCATGTTTTGAAGGGCTGCAGTAGCAGAGAGGACGATTTTGGTATCCCAGGGGTCACCCTGACTCATGTTTCGAAGGGCTGCAGTAGCCGAGAGGACGCTTTTGGTATCCCAGGGGTCACCCTGACTCATGTTTCGAAGGGCTGCAGTAGCAGAGAGGACGCTTTTGGTATCCCAGGGGTCACCCTGACTGACTCATGTTTCGAAGGGCTGCAGTAGCAGAGAGGACGCTTTTGGTATCCCAGGGGTCACCCTGACTCATGTTTCGAAGGGCTGCAGTAGCAGAGAGGACGCTTTTGGTATCCCAGGGGTCACCCTGACTGACTCATGTTTCGAAGGGCTGCAGTAGCAGAGAGGACGCTTTTGGTATCCCAGGGGTCAACCTGACTGACTCATGTTTCGAAGGGCTGCAGTAGCAGAGAGGACGCTTTTGGTATCCCAGGGGTCACCCTGACTGACTCATGTTTCGAAGGGCTGCAGTAGCAGAGAGGACGCTTTTGGTATCCCAGGGGTCACCCTGACTGACTCATGTTTCGAAGGGCTGCAGTAGCAGAGAGGACGCTTTTGGTATCCCAGGGGTCACCCTGACTGACTCATGTTTCGAAGGGCTGCAGTAGCAGAGAGGACGCTTTTGGTATCCCAGGGGTCACCCTGACTGACTCATGTTTCGAAGGGCTGCAGTAGCAGAGAGGACGCTTTTGGTATCCCAGGGGTCACCCTGACTGACTCATGTTTCGAAGGGCTGCAGTAGCAGAGAGGACGCTTTTGGTATCCCAGGGGTCACCCTGACTCATGTTTCAAAGGGCTGCAGTAGCAGAGAGGACGCTTTTGGTATCCCAGGGGTCACCCTGACTGACTCATGTTTCGAAGGGCTGCAGTAGCAGAGAGGACGCTTTTGGTATCCCAGGGGTCACCCTGACTGACTCATGTTTCGAAGGGCTGCAGTAGCAGAGAGGACGCTTTTGGTATCCCAGGGGTCACCCTGACTCATGTTTCGAAGGGCTGCAGTAGCAGAGAGGACGCTTTTGGTATCCCAGGGGTCACCCTGACTCATGTTTCGAAGGGCTGCAGTAGCCGAGAGGACGCTTTTGGTATCCCAGGGGTCACCCTGACTCATGTTTCGAAGGGCTGCAGTAGCAGAGAGGACGCTTTTGGTATCCCAGGGGTCACCCTGACTGACTCATGTTTCGAAGGGCTGCAGTAGCAGAGAGGACGCTTTTGGTATCCCAGGGGTCACCCTGACTCATGTTTCGAAGGGCTGCAGTAGCAGAGAGGACGCTTTTGGTATCCCAGGGGTCACCCTGACTCATGTTTTGAAGGGCTGCAGTAGCAGAGAGGACGATTTTGGTATCCCAGGGGTCACCCTGACTCATGTTTCGAAGGGCTGCAGTAGCCGAGAGGACGCTTTTGGTATCCCAGGGGTCACCCTGACTCATGTTTCGAAGGGCTGCAGTAGCAGAGAGGACGCTTTTGGTATCCCAGGGGTCACCCTGACTGACTCATGTTTCGAAGGGCTGCAGTAGCAGAGAGGACGCTTTTGGTATCCCAGGGGTCACCCTGACTCATGTTTCGAAGGGCTGCAGTAGCAGAGAGGACGCTTTTGGTATCCCAGGGGTCACCCTGACTCATGTTTTGAAGGGCTGCAGTAGCAGAGAGGACGCTTTTGGTATCCCAGGGGTTACCCTGACTGACTCATGTTTCGAAGGGCTGCAGTAGCAGAGAGGACGCTTTTGGTATCCCAGGGGTCACCCTGACTGACTCATGTTTCGAAGGGCTGCAGTAGCAGAGAGGACGCTTTTGGTATCCCAGGGGTCACCCTGACTCATGTTTTGAAGGGCTGCAGTAGCAGAGAGGACGATTTTGGTATCCCAGGGGTCACCCTGACTCATGTTTCGAAGGGCTGCAGTAGCCGAGAGGACGCTTTTGGTATCCCAGGGGTCACCCTGACTCATGTTTCGAAGGGCTGCAGTAGCAGAGAGGACGCTTTTGGTATCCCAGGGGTCACCCTGACTGACTCATGTTTCGAAGGGCTGCAGTAGCAGAGAGGACGCTTTTGGTATCCCAGGGGTCACCCTGACTCATGTTTCGAAGGGCTGCAGTAGCAGAGAGGACGCTTTTGGTATCCCAGGGGTCACCCTGACTCATGTTTCGAAGGGCTGCAGTAGCAGAGAGGACGCTTTTGGTATCCCAGGGGTCACCCTGACTCATGTTTCGAAGGGCTGCAGTAGCAGAGAGGACGCTTTTGGTATCCCAGGGGTCACCCTGACTCATGTTTCGAAGGGCTGCAGTAGCAGAGAGGACGCTTTTGGTATCCCAGGGGTCACCCTGACTCATGTTTCGAAGGGCTGCAGTAGCAGAGAGGACGCTTTTGGTATCCCAGGGGTCACCCTGACTGACTCATGTTTCGAAGGGCTGCAGTAGCAGAGAGGACGCTTTTAATATCCCAGGGGTCACCCTGACTGACTCATGTTTCGAAGGGCTGCAGTAGCAGAGAGGACGCTTTTGGTATCCCAGGGGTCTCCCTGACTCATGTTTCGAAGGGCTGCAGTAGCAGAGAGGACGCTTTTGGTATCCCAGGGGTCACCCTGACTCATGTTTCGAAGGGCTGCAGTAGCAGAGAGGACGCTTTTGGTATCCCAGGGGTCACCCTGACTGACTCATGTTTCGAAGGGCTGCAGTAGCAGAGAGGACGCTTTTAATATCCCAGGGGTCACCCTGACTGACTCATGTTTCGAAGGGCTGCAGTAGCAGAGAGGACGCTTTTGGTATCCCAGGGGTCTCCCTGACTGACTCATGTTTCGAAGGGCTGCAGTAGCAGAGAGGACGCTTTTGGTATCCCAGGGGTCACCCTGACTCATGTTTCGAAGGGCTGCAGTAGCAGAGAGGACGCTTTTGGTATCCCAGGGGTCACCCTGACTCATGTTTTGAAGGGCTGCAGTAGCAGAGAGGACGATTTTGGTATCCCAGGGGTCACCCTGACTCATGTTTCGAAGGGCTGCAGTAGCCGAGAGGACGCTTTTGGTATCCCAGGGGTCACCCTGACTCATGTTTCGAAGGGCTGCAGTAGCAGAGAGGACGCTTTTGGTATCCCAGGGGTCACCCTGACTGACTCATGTTTCGAAGGGCTGCAGTAGCAGAGAGGACGCTTTTGGTATCCCAGGGGTCACCCTGACTCATGTTTCGAAGGGCTGCAGTAGCAGAGAGGACGCTTTTGGTATCCCAGGGGTCACCCTGACTGACTCATGTTTCGAAGGGCTGCAGTAGCAGAGAGGACGCTTTTGGTATCCCAGGGGTCACCCTGACTGACTCATGTTTCGAAGGGCTGCAGTAGCAGAGAGGACGCTTTTGGTATCCCAGGGGTCACCCTGACTCATGTTTCGAAGGGCTGCAGTAGCCGAGAGGACGCTTTTGGTATCCCAGGGGTCACCCTGACTCATGTTTCGAAGGGCTGCAGTAGCAGAGAGGACGCTTCTGGTATCCCAGGGGTCACCCTGACTGACTCATGTTTCGAAGGGCTGCAGTAGCAGAGAGGACGCTTTTGGTATCCCAGGGGTCACCCTGACTCATGTTTCGAAGGGCTGCAGTAGCAGAGAGGACGCTTTTGGTATCCCAGGGGTCACCCTGACTCATGTTTCGAAGGGCTGCAGTAGCAGAGAGGACGCTTTTGGTATCCCAGGGGTCACCCTGACTCATGTTTCGAAGGGCTGCAGTACCAGAGAGGACGCTTTTGGTAACCCAGGGGTCACCCTGACTCATGTTTCGAAGGGCTGCAGTAGCAGAGAGGACGCTTTTGGTATCCCAGGGGTCACCCTGACTCATGTTTCGAAGGGCTGCAGTAGCCGAGAGGACGCTTTTGGTATCCCAGGGGTCACCCTGACTCATGTTTCGAAGGGCTGCAGTAGCAGAGAGGACGCTTTTGGTATCCCAGGGGTCACCCTGACTGACTCATGTTTCGAAGGGCTGCAGTAGCAGAGAGGACGCTTTTGGTATCCCAGGGGTCACCCTGACTGACTCATGTTTCGAAGGGCTGCAGTAGCAGAGAGGACGCTTTTGGTATCCCAGGGGTCTCCCTGACTGACTCATGTTTCGAAGGGCTGCAGTAGCAGAGAGGACGCTTTTGGTATCCCAGGGGTCACCCTGACTCATGTTTCGAAGGGCTGCAGTAGCAGAGAGGACGCTTTTGGTATCCCAGGGGTCACCCTGACTCATGTTTTGAAGGGCTGCAGTAGCAGAGAGGACGATTTTGGTATCCCAGGGGTCACCCTGACTCATGTTTCGAAGGGCTGCAGTAGCCGAGAGGACGCTTTTGGTATCCCAGGGGTCACCCTGACTCATGTTTCGAAGGGCTGCAGTAGCAGAGAGGAAGCTTTTGGTATCCCAGGGGTCACCCTGACTGACTCATGTTTCGAAGGGCTGCAGTAGCAGAGAGGACGCTTTTGGTATCCCAGGGGTCACCCTGACTCATGTTTCGAAGGGCTGCAGTAGCAGAGAGGACGCTTTTGGTATCCCAGGGGTCACCCTGACTCATGTTTCGAAGGGCTGCAGTAGCAGAGAGGACGCTTTTGGTATCCCAGGGGTCACCCTGACTAATGTTTTGAAGGGCTGCAGTAGCAGAGAGGACGCTTTTGGTATCCCAGGGGTTACCCTGACTGACTCATGTTTCGAAGGGCTGCAGTAGCAGAGAGGACGCTTTTGGTATCCCAGGGGTCACCCTGACTGACTCATGTTTCGAAGGGCTGCAGTAGCAGAGAGGACGCTTTTGGTATCCCAGGGGTCACCCTGACTCATGTTTTGAAGGGCTGCAGTAGCAGAGAGGACGATTTTGGTATCCCAGGGGTCACCCTGACTCATGTTTCGAAGGGCTGCAGTAGCCGAGAGGACGCTTTTGGTATCCCAGGGGTCACCCTGACTCATGTTTCGAAGGGCTGCAGTAGCAGAGAGGACGCTTTTGGTATCCCAGGGGTCACCCTGACTGACTCATGTTTCGAAGGGCTGCAGTAGCAGAGAGGACGCTTTTGGTATCCCAGGGGTTACCCTGACTGACTCATGTTTCGAAGGGCTGCAGTAGCAGAGAGGACGCTTTTGGTATCCCAGGGGTCACCCTGACTGACTCATGTTTCGAAGGGCTGCAGTAGCAGAGAGGACGCTTTTGGTATCCCAGGGGTCACCCTGACTGACTCATGTTTCGAAGGGCTGCAGTAGCAGAGAGGACGCTTTTGGTATCCCAGGGGTCACCCTGACTCATGTTTCAAAGGGCTGCAGTAGCAGAGAGGACGCTTTTGGTATCCCAGGGGTCACCCTGACTGACTCATGTTTCGAAGGGCTGCAGAAGCAGAGAGGACGCTTTTGGTATCCCAGGGGTCACCCTGACTGACTCATGTTTCGAAGGGCTGCAGTAGCAGAGAGGACGCTTTTGGTATCCCAGGGGTCACCCTGACTCATGTTTCGAAGGGCTGCAGTAGCAGAGAGGACGCTTTTGGTATCCCAGGGGTCACCCTGACTCATGTTTCGAAGGGCTGCAGTAGCAGAGAGGACGCTTTTGGTATCCCAGGGGTCACCCTGACTCATGTTTCGAAGGGCTGCAGTAGCAGAGAGGACGCTTTTGGTAACCCAGGGGTCACCCTGACTCATGTTTCGAAGGGCTGCAGTAGCAGAGAGGACGCTTTTGGTATCCCAGGGGTCACCCTGACTCATGTTTCGAAGGGCTGCAGTAGCCGAGAGGACGCTTTTGGTATCCCAGGGGTCACCCTGACTCATGTTTCGAAGGGCTGCAGTAGCAGAGAGGACGCTTTTGGTATCCCAGGGGTCACCCTGACTGACTCATGTTTCGAAGGGCTGCAGTAGCAGAGAGGACGCTTTTGGTATCCCAGGGGTCACCCTGACTGACTCATGTTTCGAAGGGCTGCAGTAGCAGAGAGGACGCTTTTGGTATCCCAGGGGTCTCCCTGACTGACTCATGTTTCGAAGGGCTGCAGTAGCAGAGAGGACGCTTTTGGTATCCCAGGGGTCACCCTGACTCATGTTTCGAAGGGCTGCAGTAGCAGAGAGGACGCTTTTGGTATCCCAGGGGTCACCCTGACTCATGTTTTGAAGGGCTGCAGTAGCAGAGAGGACGATTTTGGTATCCCAGGGGTCACCCTGACTCATGTTTCGAAGGGCTGCAGTAGCCGAGAGGACGCTTTTGGTATCCCAGGGGTCACCCTGACTCATGTTTCGAAGGGCTGCAGTAGCAGAGAGGACGCTTTTGGTATCCCAGGGGTCACCCTGACTGACTCATGTTTCGAAGGGCTGCAGTAGCAGAGAGGACGCTTTTGGTATCCCAGGGGTCACCCTGACTCATGTTTCGAAGGGCTGCAGTAGCAGAGAGGACGCTTTTGGTATCCCAGGGGTCACCCTGACTCATGTTTCGAAGGGCTGCAGTAGCAGAGAGGACGCTTTTGGTATCCCAGGGGTCACCCTGACTAATGTTTTGAAGGGCTGCAGTAGCAGAGAGGACGCTTTTGGTATCCCAGGGGTTACCCTGACTGACTCATGTTTCGAAGGGCTGCAGTAGCAGAGAGGACGCTTTTGGTATCCCAGGGGTCACCCTGACTGACTCATGTTTCGAAGGGCTGCAGTAGCAGAGAGGACGCTTTTGGTATCCCAGGGGTCACCCTGACTCATGTTTTGAAGGGCTGCAGTAGCAGAGAGGACGATTTTGGTATCCCAGGGGTCACCCTGACTCATGTTTCGAAGGGCTGCAGTAGCCGAGAGGACGCTTTTGGTATCCCAGGGGTCACCCTGACTCATGTTTCGAAGGGCTGCAGTAGCAGAGAGGACGCTTTTGGTATCCCAGGGGTCACCCTGACTGACTCATGTTTCGAAGGGCTGCAGTAGCAGAGAGGACGCTTTTGGTATCCCAGGGGTTACCCTGACTGACTCATGTTTCGAAGGGCTGCAGTAGCAGAGAGGACGCTTTTGGTATCCCAGGGGTCACCCTGACTGACTCATGTTTCGAAGGGCTGCAGTAGCAGAGAGGACGCTTTTGGTATCCCAGGGGTCACCCTGACTGACTCATGTTTCGAAGGGCTGCAGTAGCAGAGAGGACGCTTTTGGTATCCCAGGGGTCACCCTGACTCATGTTTCAAAGGGCTGCAGTAGCAGAGAGGACGCTTTTGGTATCCCAGGGGTCACCCTGACTGACTCATGTTTCGAAGGGCTGCAGAAGCAGAGAGGACGCTTTTGGTATCCCAGGGGTCACCCTGACTGACTCATGTTTCGAAGGGCTGCAGTAGCAGAGAGGACGCTTTTGGTATCCCAGGGGTCACCCTGACTCATGTTTCGAAGGGCTGCAGTAGCAGAGAGGACGCTTTTGGTATCCCAGGGGTCACCCTGACTCATGTTTCGAAGGGCTGCAGTAGCAGAGAGGACGCTTTTGGTATCCCAGGGGTCACCCTGACTCATGTTTCGAAGGGCTGCAGTAGCAGAGAGGACGCTTTTGGTATCCCAGGGGTCACCCTGACTCATGTTTCGAAGGGCTGCAGTAGCAGAGAGGACGCTTTTGGTATCCCAGGGGTCACCCTGACTGACTCATGTTTCGAAGGGCTGCAGTAGCAGAGAGGACGCTTTTGGTATCCCAGGGGTCACCCTGACTGACTCATGTTTCGAAGGGCTGCAGTAGCAGAGAGGACGCTTTTGGTATCCCAGGGGTCTCCCTGACTCATGTTTCGAAGGGCTGCAGTAGCAGAGAGGACGCTTTTGGTATCCCAGGGGTCACCCTGACTGACTCATGTTTCGAAGGGCTGCAGTAGCAGAGAGGACGCTTTTGGTATCCCAGGGGTCACCCTGACTCATGTTTCGAAGGGCTGCAGTAGCAGAGAGGACGCTTTTGGTATCCCAGGGGTCACCCTGACTCATGTTTCGAAGGGCTGCAGTAGCAGAGAGGACGCTTTTGGTATCCCAGGGGTCACCCTGACTCATGTTTCGAAGGGCTGCAGTAGCAGAGAGGACGCTTTTGGTATCCCAGGGGTCACCCTGACTCATGTTTCGAAGGGCTGCAGTAGCAGAGAGGACGCTTTTGGTATCCCAGGGGTCACCCTGACTGACTCATGTTTCGAAGGGCTGCAGTAGCAGAGAGGACGCTTTTGGTATCCCAGGGGTCACCCTGACTGACTCATGTTTCGAAGGGCTGCAGTAGCAGAGAGGACGCTTTTGGTATCCCAGGGGTCTCCCTGACTGACTCATGTTTCGAAGGGCTGCAGTAGCAGAGAGGACGCTTTTGGTATCCCAGGGGTCACCCTGACTCATGTTTCGAAGGGCTGCAGTAGCAGAGAGGACGCTTTTGGTATCCCAGGGGTCACCCTGACTCATGTTTTGAAGGGCTGCAGTAGCAGAGAGGACGATTTTGGTATCCCAGGGGTCACCCTGACTCATGTTTCGAAGGGCTGCAGTAGCCGAGAGGACGCTTTTGGTATCCCAGGGGTCACCCTGACTCATGTTTCGAAGGGCTGCAGTAGCAGAGAGGACGCTTTTGGTATCCCAGGGGTCACCCTGACTGACTCATGTTTCGAAGGGCTGCAGTAGCAGAGAGGACGCTTTTTGTATCCCAGGGGTCACCCTGACTCATGTTTCGAAGGGCTGCAGTAGCAGAGAGGACGCTTTTGGTATCCCAGGGGTCACCCTGACTCATGTTTCGAAGGGCTGCAGTAGCAGAGAGGACGCTTTTGGTATCCCAGGGGTCACCCTGACTGACTCATGTTTCGAAGGGCTGCAGTAGCAGAGAGGACGCTTTTGCTATCCCAGGGGTCACCCTGACTCATGTTTCGAAGGGCTGCAGTAGCAGAGAGGACGCTTTTGGTATCCCAGGGGTCACCCTGACTCATGTTTTGAAGGGCTGCAGTAGCAGAGAGGACGATTTTGGTATCCCAGGGGTCACCCTGACTCATGTTTCGAAGGGCTGCAGTAGCCGAGAGGACGCTTTTGGTATCCCAGGGGTCACCCTGACTCATGTTTCGAAGGGCTGCAGTAGCAGAGAGGACGCTTTTGGTATCCCAGGGGTCACCCTGACTGACTCATGTTTCGAAGGGCTGCAGTAGCAGAGAGGACGCTTTTGGTATCCCAGGGGTCACCCTGACTCATGTTTCGAAGGGCTGCAGTAGCAGAGAGGACGCTTTTGGTATCCCAGGGGTCACCCTGACTCATGTTTCGAAGGGCTGCAGTAGCAGAGAGGACGCTTTTGGTATCCCAGGGGTCACCCTAACTCATGTTTCGAAGGGCTGCAGTAGCAGAGAGGACGCTTTTGGTATCCCAGGGGTCACCCTGACTCATGTTTCGAAGGGCTGCAGTAGCAGAGACGACGCTTTTGGTATCCCAGGGGTCACCCTGACTCATGTTTCGAAGGGCTGCAGTAGCAGAGAGGACGCTTTTGGTATCCCAGGGGTCACCCTGACTGACTCATGTTTCGAAGGGCTGCAGTAGCAGAGAGAACGCTTTTGGTATCCCAGGGGTCACCCTGACTGACTCATGTTTCGAAGGGCTGCAGTAGCAGAGAGGACGCTTTTGGTATCCCAGGGGTCTCCCTGACTGACTCATGTTTCGAAGGGCTGCAGTAGCAGAGAGGACGCTTTTGGTATCCCAGGGGTCACCCTGACTCATGTTTCGAAGGGCTGCAGTAGCAGAGAGGACGCTTTTGGTATCCCAGGGGTCACCCTGACTCATGTTTTGAAGGGCTGCAGTAGCAGAGAGGACGATTTTGGTATCCCAGGGGTCACCCTGACTCATGTTTCGAAGGGCTGCAGTAGCCGAGAGGACGCTTTTGGTATCCCAGGGGTCACCCTGACTCATGTTTCGAAGGGCTGCAGTAGCAGAGAGGACGCTTTTGGTATCCCAGGGGTCACCCTGACTGACTCATGTTTCGAAGGGCTGCAGTAGCAGAGAGGACGCTTTTGGTATCCCAGGGGTCACCCTGACTGACTCATGTTTCGAAGGGCTGCAGTAGCAGAGAGGACGCTTTTGGTATCCCAGGGGTCACCCTGACCTGACTGACTCATGTTTCGAAGGGCTGCAGTAGCAGAGAGGACGCTTTTGGTATCCCAGGGGTCACCCTGACTGACTCATGTTTCGAAGGGCTGCAGTAGCAGAGAGGACGCTTTTGGTATCCCAGGGGTCACCCTGACTGACTCATGTTTCGAAGGGCTGCAGTAGCAGAGAGGACGCTTTTGGTATCCCAGGGGTCACCCTGACTGACTCATGTTTCGAAGGGCTGCAGTAGCAGAGAGGACGCTTTTGGTATCCCAGGGGTCACCCTGACTCATGTTTCGAAGGGCTGCAGTAGCAGAGAGGACGCTTTTGGTATCCCAGGGGTCACCCTGACTCATGTTTTGAAGGGCTGCAGTAGCAGAGAGGACGATTTTGGTATCCCAGGGGTCACCCTGACTCATGTTTCGAAGGGCTGCAGTAGCCGAGAGGACGCTTTTGGTATCCCAGGGGTCACCCTGACTCATGTTTCGAAGGGCTGCAGTAGCAGAGAGGACGCTTTTGGTATCCCAGGGGTCACCCTGACTGACTCATGTTTCGAAGGGCTGCAGTAGCAGAGAGGACGCTTTTGGTATCCCAGGGGTCACCCTGACTGACTCATGTTTCGAAGGGCTGCAGTAGCAGAGAGGACGCTTTTGGTATCCCAGGGGTCACCCTGACTGACTCATGTTTCGAAGGGCTGCAGTAGCAGAGAGGACGCTTTTGGTATCCCAGGGGTCACCCTGACTGACTCATGTTTCGAAGGGCTGCAGTAGCAGAGAGGACGCTTTTGGTATCCCAGGGGTCACCCTGACTGACTCATGTTTCGAAGGGCTGCAGTAGCAGAGAGGACGCTTTTGGTATCCCAGGGGTCACCCTGACTGACTCATGTTTCGAAGGGCTGCAGTAGCAGAGAGGACGCTTTTGGTATCCCAGGGGTCACCCTGACTCATGTTTCGAAGGGCTGCAGTAGCAGAGAGGACGCTTTTGGTGTCCCAGGGGTCACCCTGACTGACTCGTGTTTCGAAGGGCTGCAGTAGCAGAGAGGACGCTTTTGGTATCCCAGGGGTCACCCTGACTGACTCGTGTTTCGAAGGGCTGCAGTAGCAGAGAGGACGCTTTTGGTATCCCAGGGGTCACCCTGACTCATGTTTCGAAGGGCTGCAGTAGCAGAGAGGACGCTTTTGGTATCCCAGGGGTCACCCTGACTGACTCATGTTTCGAAGGGCTGCAGTAGCAGAGAGGACGCTTTTGGTATCCCAGGGGTCACCCTGACTCATGTTTCGAAGGGCTGCAGTAGCAGAGAGGACGCTTTTGGTGTCCCAGGGGTCACCCTGACTGACTCGTGTTTCGAAGGGCTGCAGTTGCAGAGAGGACGCTTTTGGTATCCCAGGGGTCACCCTGACTGACTCGTGTTTCGAAGGGCTGCAGTAGCAGAGAGGACACTTTTGGTATCCCAGGGGTCACCCTGACTGACTCATGTTTCGAAGGGCTGCAGTAGCAGAGAGGACGCTTTTGGTATCCCAGGGGTCACCCTGACTGACTCATGTTTCGAAGGGCTGCAGTAGCAGAGAGGACGCTTTTGGTATCCCAGGGGTCACCCTGACTCATGTTTCGAAGGGCTGCAGTAGCAGAGAGGACGCTTTTGGTATCCCAGGGGTCACCCTGACTGACTCATGTTTCGAAGGGCTGCAGTAGCAGAGAGGACGCTTTTGGTATCCCAGGGGTCACCCTGACTCATGTTTCGAAGGGCTGCAGTAGCAGAGAGGACGCTTTTGGTGTCCCAGGGGTCACCCTGACTGACTCGTGTTTCGAAGGGCTGCAGTAGCAGAGAGGACGCTTTTGGTATCCCAGGGGTCACCCTGACTGACTCGTGTTTCGAAGGGCTGCAGTAGCAGAGAGGACGCTTTTGGTATCCCAGGGGTCACCCTGACTCATGTTTCGAAGGGCTGCAGTAGCAGAGAGGACGCTTTTGGTATCCCAGGGGTCACCCTGACTGACTCATGTTTCGAAGGGCTGCAGTAGCAGAGAGGACGCTTTTGGTATCCCAGGGGTCACCCTGACTCATGTTTCGAAGGGCTGCAGTAGCAGAGAGGACGCTTTTGGTGTCCCAGGGGTCACCCTGACTGACTCGTGTTTCGAAGGGCTGCAGTAGCAGAGAGGACGCTTTTGGTATCCCAGGGGTCACCCTGACTGACTCATGTTTCGAAGGGCTGCAGTAGCAGAGAGGACGCTTTTGGTATCCCAGGGGTCACCCTGACTGACTCATGTTTCGAAGGGCTGCAGTAGCAGAGAGGACGCTTTTGGTATCCCAGGGGTCACCCTGACTGACTCATGTTTCGAAGGGCTGCAGTAGCAGAGAGGACGCTTTTGGTATCCCAGGGGTCACCCTGACTGACTCATGTTTCGAAGGGCTGCAGTAGCAGAGAGGACGCTTTTGGTATCCCAGGGGTCACCCTGACTGACTCATGTTTCGAAGGGCTGCAGTAGCAGAGAGGACGCTTTTGGTATCCCAGGGGTCACCCTGACTGACTCGTGTTTCGAAGGGCTGCAGTAGCAGAGAGGACGCTTTTGGTATCCCAGGGGTCACCCTGACTGACTCGTGTTTCGAAGGGCTGCAGTAGCAGAGAGGACGCTTTTGGTATCCCAGGGGTCACCCTGACTCATGTTTCGAAGGGCTGCAGTAGCAGAGAGGACGCTTTTGGTATCCCAGGGGTCACCCTGACTGACTCATGTTTCGAAGGGCTGCAGTAGCAGAGAGGACGCTTTTGGTATCCCAGGGGTCACCCTGACTCATGTTTCGAAGGGCTGCAGTAGCAGAGAGGACGCTTTTGGTGTCCCAGGGGTCACCCTGACTGACTCGTGTTTCGAAGGGCTGCAGTAGCAGAGAGGACGCTTTTGGTATCCCAGGGGTCACCCTGACTGACTCGTGTTTCGAAGGGCTGCAGTAGCAGAGAGGACGCTTTTGGTATCCCAGGGGTCACCCTGACTCATGTTTCGAAGGGCTGCAGTAGCAGAGAGGACGCTTTTGGTATCCCAGGGGTCACCCTGACTGACTCATGTTTCGAAGGGCTGCAGTAGCAGAGAGGACGCTTTTGGTATCCCAGGGGTCACCCTGACTCATGTTTCGAAGGGCTGCAGTAGCAGAGAGGACGCTTTTGGTATCCCAGGGGTCACCCTGACTGACTCATGTTTCGAAGGGCTGCAGTAGCAGAGAGGACGCTTTTGGTATCCCAGGGGTCACCCTGACTGACTCGTGTTTCGAAGGGCTGCAGTAGCAGAGAGGACGCTTTTGGTATCCCAGGGGTCACCCTGACTCATGTTTCGAAGGGCTGCAGTAGCAGAGAGGACGCTTTTGGTATCCCAGGGGTCACCCTGACTGACTCATGTTTCGAAGGGCTGCAGTAGCAGAGAGGACGCTTTTGGTATCCCAGGGGTCACCCTGACTCATGTTTCGAAGGGCTGCAGTAGCAGAGAGGTCGCTTTTGGTGTCCCAGGGGTCACCCTGACTGACTCGTGTTTCGAAGGGCTGCAGTTGCAGAGAGGACGCTTTTGGTATCCCAGGGGTCACCCTGACTGACTCGTGTTTCGAAGGGCTGCAGTAGCAGAGAGGACACTTTTGGTATCCCAGGGGTCACCCTGACTCATGTTTCGAAGGGCTGCAGTAGCAGAGAGGACGCTTTTGGTATCCCAGGGGTCACCCTGACTGAGTCATGTTTCGAAGGGCTGCAGTAGCAGAGAGGACGCTTTTGGTATCCCAGGGGTCACCCTGACTCATGTTTCGAAGGGCTGCAGTAGCAGAGAGGACGCTTTTGGTGTCCCAGGGGTCACCCTGACTGACTCGTGTTTCGAAGGGCTGCAGTAGCAGAGAGGACGCTTTTGGTATCCCAGGGGTCACCCTGACTGACTCATGTTTCGAAGGGCTGCAGTAGCAGAGAGGACGCTTTTGGTATCCCAGGGGTCACCCTGACTGACTCATGTTTCGAAGGGCTGCAGTAGCAGAGAGGACGCTTTTGGTATCCCAGGGGTCACCCTGACTGACTCATGTTTCGAAGGGCTGCAGTAGCAGAGAGGACGCTTTTGGTATCCCAGGGGTCACCCTGACTCATGTTTCGAAGGGCTGCAGTAGCAGAGAGGACGCTTTTGGTATCCCAGGGGTCACCCTGACTCATGTTTTGAAGGGCTGCAGTAGCAGAGAGGACGATTTTGGTATCCCAGGGGTCACCCTGACTCATGTTTCGAAGGGCTGCAGTAGCCGAGAGGACGCTTTTGGTATCCCAGGGGTCACCCTGACTCATGTTTCGAAGGGCTGCAGTAGCAGAGAGGACGCTTTTGGTATCCCAGGGGTCACCCTGACTGACTCATGTTTCGAAGGGCTGCAGTAGCAGAGAGGACGCTTTTGGTATCCCAGGGGTCACCCTGACTCATGTTTCGAAGGGCTGCAGTAGCAGAGAGGACGCTTTTGGTATCCCAGGGGTCACCCTGACTCATGTTTCGAAGGGCTGCAGTAGCAGAGAGGACGCTTTTGGTATCCCAGGGGTCACCCTGACTCATGTTTTGAAGGGCTGCCGTAGCAGAGAGGACGCTTTTGGTATCCCAGGGGTTACCCTGACTGACTCATGTTTCGAAGGGCTGCAGTAGCAGAGAGGACGCTTTTGGTATCCCAGGGGTCACCCTGACTGACTCATGTTTCGAAGGGCTGCAGTAGCAGAGAGGACGCTTTTGGTATCCCAGGGGTCACCCTGACTGACTCATGTTTCGAAGGGCTGCAGTAGCAGAGAGGACGCTTTTGGTATCCCAGGGGTCACCCTGACTGACTCATGTTTCGAAGGGCTGCAGTAGCAGAGAGGACGCTTTTGGTATCCCAGGGGTCACCCTGACTGACTCATGTTTCGAAGGGCTGCAGTAGCAGAGAGGACGCTTTTGGTATCCCAGGGGTCACCCTGACTCATGTTTCGAAGGGCTGCAGTAGCAGAGAGGACGCTTTTGGTATCCCAGGGGTCACCCTGACTGACTCATGTTTCGAAGGGCTGCAGTAGCAGAGAGGACGCTTTTGGTATCCCAGGGGTCACCCTGACTCATGTTTCGAAGGGCTGCAGTAGCAGAGAGGACGCTTTTGGTATCCCAGGGGTCACCCTGACTGACTCATGTTTCGAAGGGCTGCAGTAGCAGAGAGGACGCTTTTGGTATCCCAGGGGTCACCCTGACTCATGTTTCGAAGGGCTGCAGTAGCAGAGAGGACGCTTTTGGTGTCCCAGGGGTCACCCTGACTGACTCGTGTTTCGAAGGGCTGCAGTAGCAGAGAGGACGCTTTTGGTATCCCAGGGGTCACCCTGACTGACTCATGTTTCGAAGGGCTGCAGTAGCAGAGAGGACGCTTTTGGTATCCCAGGGGTCACCCTGACTCATGTTTTGAAGGGCTGCAGTAGCAGAGAGGACGCTTTTGGTATCCCAGGGGTCACCCTGACTCATGTTTTGAAGGGCTGCAGTAGCAGAGAGGACGATTTTGGTATCCCAGGGGTCACCCTGACTCATGTTTCGAAGGGCTGCAGTAGCCGAGAGGACGCTTTTGGTATCCCAGGGGTCACCCTGACTCATGTTTCGAAGGGCTGCAGTAGCAGAGAGGACGCTTTTGGTATCCCAGGGGTCACCCTGACTGACTCATGTTTCGAAGGGCTGCAGTAGCAGAGAGGACGCTTTTGGTATCCCAGGGGTCACCCTGACTCATGTTTCGAAGGGCTGCAGTAGCAGAGAGGACGCTTTTGGTATCCCAGGGGTCACCCTGACTCATGTTTCGAAGGGCTGCAGTAGCAGAGAGGACGCTTTTGGTATCCCAGGGGTCACCCTGACTCATGTTTCGAAGGGCTGCAGTAGCAGAGAGGACGCTTTTGAGGCGCCTCAAAAGTCGTCTCCTGGCTGCAGTAGCAGAGAGGACGCTTTTGAGGCGCCTCAAAAGTCGTCTCCTGGCTGCAGTAGCAGAGAGGACGCCTTTGAGGCGCCTCAAAAGTCGTCTCCTGGCTGCAGTAGCAGAGAGGACGCTTTTGAGGCGCCTCAAAAGTCGTCTCCTGGCTGCAGTAGCAGAGAGGACGCTTTTGAGGCGCCTCAAAAGTCGTCTCCTGGCTGCAGTAGCAGAGAGGACGCTTTTGAGGCGCCTCAAAAGTCGTCTCCTGGCTGCAGTAGCAGAGAGGACGCCTTTGAGGCGCCTCAAAATCCGTCTCCTGGCTGCAGTAGCAGAGAGGACGCTTTTGAGGCGCCTCAAAAGTCGTCTCCTGGCTGCAGTAGCAGAGAGGACGCTTTTAGGCGCCTCAAAAGTCGTCTCCTGGCTGCAGTAGCAGAGAGGACGCTTTTGAGGCGCCTCAAAAGTTGTCTCCTGGCTGCAGTAGCAGAGAGGACGCTTTTGAGGCGCCTCAAAAGTCGTCTCCTGGCTGCAGTAGCAGAGAGGACGCCTTTGAGGCGCCTCAAAATCCGTCTCCTGGCTGCAGTAGCAGAGAGGACGCTTTTGAGGCGCCTCAAAAGTCGTCTCCTGGCTGCAGTAGCAGAGAGGACGCTTTTAGGCGCCTCAAAAGTCGTCTCCTGGCTGCAGTAGCAGAGAGGACGCTTTTGAGGCGCCTCAAAAGTTGTCTCCTGGTTGCAGTAGCAGAGAGGACGCTTTTGAGGCGCCTCAAAAGTCGTCTCCTGGCTGCAGTAGCAGAGAGGACGCTTTTGAGGCGCCTCAAAAGCTTGATAAGCAAAAGGTTGTGTTTCATCAAAAGAGCCGCGGCACTGCAGCAGCTCAAAACCAAGGCAAAGCGTCAGGGTGTATTGAGGGACTCACCAGCAGGACGCACAGACTCTGCTCTGACCTGAAACGACCTCGCTTGAAAAGCAACTAGGTTGTGTTTCATCAAAAGAGCCACAGAAGCAGCTCAATACCTAAGCAAAGCGCCCAGGTGTATAAAGGGACTCACCAGCAGGACGCCCAGGTTCTTCTGCTCTAGCTCGCAGCTAGAAAAGCGGTCGTGCTGGTTCTGCATATAGAAAGGAGGACTCACTAATGACACCCCACACCGCACTCACTCGCTCACTCACTCACTCACTCACCAGCAGCACGCCCAGGTTCTGCTCTAGCTTTCCACTTGAAAAGCGGCTGTGGTGGGTCTGCATAGAACAACGGGTGGAGGGAAGAGGCACAAAAGGGAAAGGGAGGGGGAGGGAGGCGGGTTATCGCACCCACAACAGCACTTCTTTGCTTGCTGCTGCACTCGCCAGCAGTACGCCCAGATTCTGCTCTAGCTTGCCGCTTGAAAAGCGGCTGTGGTGGGTCTGCAGGAGGAAGGGAGGAGGCACGGAGGGAAGGGATAGAGGGATTCCGATTCATTTGAGCCCCCTCGTTGAACCAATAAAACAAGAGGTTCATGGTGACTTTTGAGTCGACTCAAAAGCCACCTCTTTTGATTCGACTCAAAAGCCACCTCTTTTGATTCGACTCAAAAGCCACCTCTTTTGAGTCGACTCAAAAGCCACCTCTTTTGAGTCGACTCAAAAGCCACCTCTTTTGAGTCGACTCAAAAGCCACCTCTTTTGAGTTGACTCAAAAGTCACCTCAAATAGAACAAAAGATTCATGATTCCGGGGCAGTGTGTGCCATGCCATGATCATAACCAGGAGGGCATCCGAGGTGCCTTGCCTTTTGAGACGTCTCAAAAACACCCTCTCTTCTCTACACGTGACTTCCGGTTCAGTGTGTGCCACGATCATAACCAGGCTGGCATACGAGCACATCCGTTCTTCAGGCACGGTATGAGGAGAGGACGCACCTGCAGGTGTGTCATGGCCATGACTAGGAGTAGGGTATGTTTTTTGAGAATTCTCAAGAAACATACCATGACCATGACTAGGAGGGTATGTTTTTTGAGAATTCTCAAGAAACATACCATGACCATAGGAGGGTAGTAGAGGAACCAATCCCTCCTGTGGTCACCTCGTTGAGTTGAGGCCCCTCTGCTGCAGGAAGGAAGCGCTTCAGCACGAGGGATATGTGGGCGCAGTGCGTTGTGTCGTGCTGCACTGCACTGCACCGCACAGGACAGCTTGTAACCCCAAAGAACCCACCTGCAGGTGAGCCATGATCATGACCTGCAGGGCGTACGAGCCAATCCCTCCTGTGAACACCTCGTTGAGGCCCCTCTGCTGCAGGAAGAGCTTCAACACAAGGGATATGCAGGTCAACGCACTGTGCTGCACTGCACTGCACCGCACAGGACAGCTTGTAACCTCAAAGGACCCACCTGTAGTTGTGCCATGATCATGACTAGAAGGGCATACCAGCCGATGCCTCCCGTGAACACCTCATTGAGGCCCCTCTGCTGGAGGAAGAGCTTCAAGACGAGGGATATGGGGCGCGCACTGCGCTGCACCGCACTGCACCGCAGAGTACACATTGTAACCCCTTACCACGCACCTGTAAGTGCGCCATGATCATGACTAGAAGGGCGTACAAGCCAATGCCTCCTGTGAACACCTCGTTGAGGCCCCTGTACTGCAAGAAGAGCTTTAACACCAGGGAGATGGGGCGCTGCACTGTGCTCTCCTCTGCTGCACTGCACTGCACAGTACATACAGCTTGACTTTTGAGTCGACTCAAAGGTCAACTCTGCACTGCACAGTACATACAGCTTGTAACCCCCTACCACACCTGAAGATGCGCCATGATCATGACTAGAAGGGCGTACGAGCCGATGCCTCCTGTGAACACCTCGTTGAGGCCCCTCTGCTGCAGGAAGAGCTTGAACACCAGGGAGATGGGGCGCAGTGCACTGCGCTGCACCGCACTGCACCGCAGAGTACACATTGAAACCCCTTACCACACACCTGTAGATGCGCCATGACCATGACTAGAAGGGCGTATGAGCCAATTTCTCCTGTGAACACCTCGTTAAGGCCCATCTGCTGCAGCACGAGCTTCAACACAGGACAGCTTGTAACCCCAAAGAACCCACCTGTAAGTGTGCCATGATCATGACTAGGAGCGCATACGACCCAATCCCCCCTGTGAACACCTCGTTGAGGCCCCTCTGCTGCATGAAGAGCTTGAACACCAGGGAGATGGATCGCAGTGCACTGCGCTGCACCGCACTGCACCGCAGAGTACACATTGCAACCCCTTACCACACACCTGTAAGAGCGCCATGATCATGACCAGCAGGGCGTACGACCCAATTCCTCCTGTGAAAACCTCGTTGAGGCCCCTCTGATGCAGAAAAAGTTTCAACACGAGGGATATGGAGCGCAGTGCACTATGCTGCACTGCACTGCACCGCACAGGACAGCTTGTAACCCCAAAGAACCCTCCTGTAGGTGTGCCATGATCATGACCAGCAGGGCGTACGAGCCGATGCCCCCTGTGAACACCTCGTTGAGGCCCCTCTGCTGCAGGAAGAGCTTCAGCAGCACCAGGGAGATGAGGCGCAGAGCACTGCGCTGCACCGCACTGCACCGCAAAGTACACATTGCAACCCCTTACCACACACCTGTAGATGTGCCATGATCATGACCAGCAGGGCGTACGAGCCGATCCCCCCTGTGAACACCTCGTTGAGGCCCCTCTGCTGGAGAAAAAGCTTGAGCACCAGAGAGATGGGTCGCAGTGCTGGCATGGCCTTCATGGATTTCTGTGTAGGGGGGGCAAGACAAGTGGGGACAGAAAACGGAATGCGAAAGAGTGTTGGATTGAGAATTCTCATTGAAAAAACCCTCTGCTGCGAACAAGATCTAGTTTTGAGGCGCCTCAAAACTAGAAAGAGTGTTGGATTGAGAATTCTCATTGAAAAAACCCTCTGCTGCGAAAAAGAGCTTGAGCACGAGGGATATGGGGCGCAGCACTGGCATGGCCTTCATGGATTTCTGAGAAAAGACGGGGGCAAGACAAGAAGGTAGAGAGGAACCAAATGCAAACGATGATTGAGACGTGTCATTCAATCAACCCTCTGCTGGAGGAAGAGCTTGAGCACGAGATAGATAGGACGGAGTGCTGGCATGGCCTTCATGGATTTCTGGATAAGGGGTGACAAGACATTGAGCAACAGAGGAAGGGAAAGCAAACAAGGGTTGGGTTGTTGAGACAGCTAAACCCAACCCCCCCTCTGCTGGAGAAAAGGCTTGAGCACGAGAGAGATAGGGCGCAGCGCTGGAATGACCTTCATGGATTTCTGTGTAGGGCGGGCAAGAGAAGAAGGAACAGCCAGACCAGAGAAGAAGGAACAGCCAGACCAGAGAAGAAGGAACAGCCAGACCAGAGAAGAAGGAACAGCCAGACCAGAGGAGAAGGAACAGCCAGACCAGAGAAGAAGGAACAGCCAGACCAGAGAAGAAGGAACAGCCAGACCAGAGAAGAAGGAACAGCCAGAGAATGGGAGAGGAGTACAAAACAAGGCTTGGGTCGTCTCGTTTGACCGCCTGGTGCAAGAAGAGCTTGAGCACGAGCGAGACGGGGCGCAGCGCTGGCATGGCCTTCATTGATTTCTGTGTAGGGGGACGGAAGAGAAGGAACAGGGAAGAGGTGGGAGATAGACTTGAGATGCTTCAATCACTCAACCCTCTGCTGCAAGAAGAGCTTGAGCACGAGTGAGACGGGGCGCAATGCCAGCATGGCCTTCATGAGTATGAAGAAGTGTTTTGAGACGTCTCAAAACAATGCTGGCATCGCCTTCATGGATTTCTGGGTGAGGGAATGTAGGAGGAGAAGGAGGAGGAGAAGGAAGGAAGGAACAAGGAGCAGAGATGAGATATACTTTTCAGACGCATCAAGCAACCGTCTGGTGCAGGAAGAGGTTGAGCACGAGGGATATGCGGTGCAGCGCTGGCATGGCTTTCATGGAGTTCTGAGAGAGGGAAGGAGGAACGAGGAGAGGAAGTGCGGAAAAAGGATTGATACATACCAACGCTCTGGTGCAATTCCATTTTCCCTCCCTCCCCTCCTTTCTCACTTGATCCGTGCCCTTTTTTCAAAGTAGAGCAAATTGCAAGGGGAACAAGAAGAAGCGATTGCAAGGGGAACTTACCCGGATGAACTTGGCAGTCTCTGGTCCGTTGGACGTATCGAAACTGGGAGGAGCAAGTTCGGGGGGGCGGAGGGGAGGGGAAGGAAGGGGAGGGGAGGGGAAGGAAGGGGAGGGGAGGGGAGGGTGGGGCAGAGCTAGGATGAACTTGGCAGTCTCAGGTCCGTTGGACGTATCGAAACTGCCAAGAGCATTCAGATAAAGAGAGGGAGGAAAGGGGCAGGAGGGGGAAGAGGGCCAGGCATTCAGACAAAGATAAAGAGGAGGAAAGGGGCAGGAGAGGGAAGAGGGCCGGGCATTCAGACAAAGATAAAGAGGAGGAAAGGGGCAAGAGGGGGAGGAGGGCCGGGCATTCAGATAAAGAGGAGGAAAGGGGCAGGAGAGGGCCGGGTAGTTCTTCAGACATCTCAAAACTGGAGTAAACCTGGCAATTTCTGATTCAGGAACATGCTCATGCGCACTCATGCAACCCCTTTTGAGGCGCCTCAAAAAAGCAATTTCTGGTTCAGGAACATGCACATGCGTGCGAGTGCGGGTGCTGTTATTAGTAAAAAGGTGGGCTGCGAGTGCACATGCACATGCGCACTCATGCAACCCCTCCCACCTGATGTCAAACGCCACTCCACGGGCGATCTTCAGGAACATGATGATCGGCACACGTGCACTCATACACATGCGCATATACACATGCACACGCATCATACATACACATATACTCATTACTAACTCCCCCACTCCCAGAATCACCCTCTCACCTCATGTCAAACACCACTCCACTCTCAATCTCCAAGAACTTGATAATCGGCACTCGTGCACTGATGCGCATACACAGGCATGGATGCACACACATGCACATTCATGCACTCTCTTTCATTCACTCACTCCCTCACTCTCCACTCCCTCACTCTCCACTCCCTCTCAACTGATGTCAAACGACACCCCACTGGCGATCTCCAGGAACTTGATGATCGACACACGCACACTCACGCACGCCCTCTCTCTCTCTCTCTCTCACACACACACACACGCGCGCGCACGCACGCACGCACGCACGCACGCACGCACACACGCACACACACACACACACACACACACACACACACACACACACACACACACACACACACACACACACACACACACACACACACACACATATTTGTACTCACTCACCCCCTCGCTACCCCTCTCACCTGATGTCAAACGACACTCCACTGGTCATCTCCAGGAACTTGATGATCGGCACACGTGCACTGATGCGCATAAACACAGGCACGGATGCACACACATGCACGCATACATACATACACACATACATACATATGCATACATACATACACACATACATACATATGCATACATACATGCATGTACTCACGCACTACCTCTCTCCCACCTGATGTCAAATGATAATCCACTCTCAATCTCCAGGAACTTGATGATCGGCACACCCCCGCACGCACACATGCATGCACTCATGCAAACACGCACACGTGCCGTCACTCACCCACTCATTTACTCCACTCCCTCCCACCTGATGTCAAATGACACTCCACTCTCAATCTCCAGGAACTTGATGATCGGCACTCGTGCTTGCCCGATGACCTGCAGGGGGGGAGGCAGGCAGGAGGGGGGGCGAGTGAGTGAGATGAGAGATTTGATAATCAGCACACGCGCTTTCCAATGACCTGCAGTGGGGGAGAGGTGGGCAAAGAGAGAGGAAGAGAAGGGAAGAGAGAGAAAGATAGAAAGGGGCTGGAAAAGGAGAGGAGGAACTTGAAAATCGTCACACGTGCTTGCCCAATGGCCTGTAGGGGAGGAAAAGGTTGGAGGGGGAGGGGAGAGGAGTGAGATAAGGAGGAACTTGATGATGTGCGCACGTGCTTGCCCGATGACCTGCAAGAACAGGAGGAGACGCGACCAGGGAGGGAAGTAGTGAGAGAGTGCGAGAGGAGCGAGGGAGAGGGGGAACCTGATGATGGGCACTCGTGCTTGCCTGATGACCTGTAGGGGGGGGGTGGGGGTTGGAGGCGGGAAGAAAGGGAAGGAGTGAGAGGCGTGAGGCGGGCGAGAAGAGGAACTTGATGATCGGCACTCGTGCTTGCCCAATGACCTGTAGGGGAGGAAAAGGTTGGAGGGGGAGGGGAGAGGAGTGAGGAAAAGGAGGAACTTGATGATGGGCACACGTGCTTGCCCTATGGCCTGTAGGGGAGGAAAAGGTTGGAGGGGGAGGGGAGAGGAGTGAGATAAGGAGGAACTTGATGATCGGCACACGTGCTTGCCCGATAACCTGCAAGAAAAAGGGGGAAAGCAGGCAGGGGGGGAAGGAGTGAGAGGAGAGGCGTGAGAGGAGAGGAGTGAGAGGATGGGATTTATTATCGGCACACGTGCTTGCCCAGTGACCTTAAAAATGGCAAGGTGAGGAAACAGAGAGAGGAGAAGCAAGAGGAAAAGTGGCAGGAAAAAACAAGGGACTGTTACAATGCACCCTGCACCCTCATCTCGTCTCCTCTCCACGTGCGTACCTTCATGTTGCGAGCCACTCTCCTCCCCACCAGCGCCTTTGCCAGTGCTCTCAGCGCCCTCTGCACATGTTTTGCTAACCAACACTCCACTCAGTTTCATGCCCAATCTCCCCCTACCTTCATGTTGGTTTTTGAGAATTCTCAAAAACCAGCTCGTTTCATGCCCAATCTCCCCCTACCTTCATGTTCCGTGCAACTCTCCTCCCCACCAGCGCCTTTGCCAATGCTCTCAGCGCCCTCTGCACGTCCGGGCAGCCCGAGTGCAGCACTACCATCTGCGGGAGGGGAAGAGGGGCAGAAGGCGAGAAAGGAGAACAGAAGACGGGGCACGGCCTGGGGTGGGTGCCGGACAAGAAATCCCTTCAGTCCCACCAGTGCCCTCAGCGCCCTCTGCACGTCTGGGCAGCCCGAGTGCAGCACTACCATCTGCGGGAGGGGAAGGGAAGCGGGGTTGAAGGGGTGCGGGCAGTGCCTTGCGTGGGTGCAGGACAGGGACTCCCTTCAATCCCACCGGTGCCTTCGCCAGTGCTCTCAGTGCCCTCTGCACGTCCGGGCAGCCGGAAGAGGGGCAGAAGGAGAGAGCAGAGAGCAGCAGATGGGGAAGGGCTTGGGTGGGTGCAGGACAAGAAATCCCTTCAATCCCACCGGTGCCTTCGCCAGTGCTCTCAGTGCCCTCTGCACGTCCGGGCAGCCGGAAGAGGGGCAGAAGGAGAGAGCAGAGAGCAGCAGATGGGGAAGGGCTTGGGTGGGTGCAGGACAAGAAATCCCTTCAATCCCACCAGTGCCGTAGCCAGTGCTCTCAGTGCCCTCTGCACGTCCAGGCAGCCCGAGTGCAGCACTACCATCTGATGGGAAGAAAACGAAAAGAGTGGCGACGGGAAAGACAGGGGTGGAGAGAGATCGAAAGGCGTACGATACGAACCAAACAGACCGACAGTATCAGGGCAGTACTGGCCTGGGGGTGCCCAGATGCCCCCAGTTGCACGGCCATGGGGTGGGGGAGCTTGCCTTGCCCAGATGCCCCCAGTACCACGGCCACCGTGCCCTACACTGCACTTACATCCACGTCGCTGGTCCGCGGGTACACGCCCGTGGCGTATGAACCAAACACCTCCCCACGTGGCTGGCAGTGCGTCTTCACCAGGAAATGGTTATGGGGTGTGAGCTGGTACTCACATCCACGTCGCTGGTCCGCAGGTACACGCCCGTGGCATATGAACCAAACACCTCCCCACGTGCCACTGCCCCTCCCCCACGAGATGGGTCTGGGGCGTGAACTGGTATGGTGGGCTGTCACACCTCCCCACGGCAGTAAGGCTTCACAAAGGGATGGGTCTGGTGTGATGTGGTGTGGTGTGTGAGTGAACTGGTTTGGTGAATTGTGATACTCACATCCACGTCACTGGTCGGCAGGTACACGCCCGTGGCGTACGAACCAAACACCTCCACGTGGCAGTGCGCCCAGATGCTGTGGATGACAGCTGTCACCCGCCCCACCGCCTCCGCCCGCGCCTGCTTCTCCTGCTCCGATGCTTCGACAAACCGGCAGAACTCCACGATTTCTGGGGTAAGAGAAGGGAAAGTGGGAAACATCCACATCTCAGATCCCTGTGCTGTGAGTGACACCTCCTGTCACCCGCCCCACTGCCTCCGGCCGCGCCTGCTTCTCCTGCTCGGACGCCTCCACAAACCGGCAGAACTCCACGATCTCTGGGGTATGAGAAGGGCAGGAGAGTGATGGGAACACCACAGTGGCTGTACTGTACGTGTTGGTGCCCTGTGCCGTCCTCTCAGTGACACCCCCCACCCGCCCCACCGCTGCCTCTGTCCGCGCCTGCTTCCCCTGCTCCGACGCCTCCACGATCTCTGGTGTGGTGTTGGGAAAGGGACGGGGTTGCAAAAGCACGAGGTTGAGGGTGGTCATTCGTTCGCCCCACCGTCTCCGCCCGTGCCGGCTTCTCCTGCTGCTCCGACGCTTCAACCAACCGGCAGAACTCCACGATCTCTGGTGTTGGGAAAGGGACGGGGTTGCAAAAGCACGAGGTTGAGGGTGGTCATTCGTTCGCCCCACCACCTCCGCCCGTGCCGGCTTCTCCTGCTGCTCCGACGCTTCAACCAACCGGCAGAACTCCACAATCTCTGGGGTTCGGAAAGGGGAAGATGAACGGGAATACAGTGAGGGTGAGAAGGGGTTAAAAAAGACCCTTCTCACCCTCACTGTATTCCCGTCCTCGCCTGCTTCTTCTGCACTGACGCCTCCACAAACTGACGGGAACAAGGTTAGGCAAGGGGAAGATGAGCGGAAACACGGAGGCGGCACATGTTGCAAGGGCCGGGGTCGTCGTGAGGGGTGAAATGAAGCGGGCGGGGGTGACGGTGGTAACCACCAGGTGATGGTGGTAACCACCAGGTGATGGTGGTAACCACCAGGTGATGGTGATGGTATCCCGGCCCCACTGCCTCTGCCCACCCTTGTCTGCTTCTCCTGCTCCGATGCCTCGAAAAGATGACAAAACCCCACAATTTCTGAGGTTTACGTGTTTAGTAAGGGCCGGGTGATGGGGACATGGTGGCTGTTCATGCTCAGGGTTCAGGGTTTACGGTTGTCCAAAGGGAATATCAAGGCTTGCCATGGTACAGGCGCAGGAAGGGGCTGCGCAGATGCCCCTCCTGGTGGCCCACGCTCCACGGCGCTGCAGGGTCCGCTGCTGGTTCAGGGGCAGGGTTTCAGGGGGTTCAGGGTTTTGAAGGGTTCTTGCCTTGGTGCAGGCGCAGGAAGGGGCTGCGCGGATGCCCCTCCGGGTGCCCCAAGCTCCACGGCACTGTTTATATTAGGCCGCGGGTTCAAGGTTTAAGAAGGTTCAGGGCTCAAGGAGGTTGAGGTTCAAAGCTTGCCTTGATGCAGGCGGAGAAAGGGGCTGCGCGGATGCCCTTCCGGGTGGCCCACGCTCCACGGCGCTGCAGGGTCCGCCGCTGGCGCAGGCTTTCCGCTCCGCGTTTCTGCCATTGGTGCTTCAGGCTCCGCCACTGGCGCTTCAGGCTCCGCCACTGGCGCAACACGCGCAAGCTTTCCGCTTCTTGCTTCCCCCGCTTTTGCGGCCGCTTCCCCGTCCGCTCCCTCCTGCGCTTTCCTCTTCCTCTTATCCTCAGCCACTTCCTTATCCTGCGATACGCCGTCGTCTGCTGACGCAGCTCCCTGGTCCCCGCACGAAGCCTGTCCGCCGTCCGATCGAGCTTCATCTTCTACTTTTTCTGACTGATTCATATCGAGGTTTGTTGTACCGAGATTCGTACTTTTCGCAATAGGTGTGGTTACCACATCTACTATGTCGACGAGGCGAATAACAAGTTCGTCCTCCGCGTCACCGTCGCTGTCGTCATCCTCGTCGTGTTCGCCATCTATAGCCGCAGCGCGTGCGCTAGTATCGGGTACAGAAGGATGCGTGGCGGACGGCGATCCTGCCGAAGAATATCTCGCGTCCAGCTCAGCAACTAACGCGGCAATCGCTCGACTAGTATCGGCAGGCAAGGAGGCACTCGTACCGGGCGTCGTCGATAACAAATCAGCCAATAACGGATCACTCACTAACGGATCACTCACTAACGGATCACTCACTAACGGATCACTCACGAACGGGTCGCTCAATGTACTCGTTCCGATAACGGTACGAAGCGTTCGATAGAGGAAACCCGAGTCGTCCGGGGTCGCCATGGTAATGCACGTCGCCCACACGCGAGTTAACGAGCTAGCAATGTTTGAGAATTCCAAACCCAATGCAGGTTGCCCAAACCTCTCATAAAAAGTGCGAGTAAACGCTTAACCCTGGGCAATTAGCGAACCGACGCCACGCTACTATTCTGGTTACGACTGTCTTTAGAAACTTATCTAGTGGTAGGAACTACTGCCAGCGAAGCAGGTGACGCAAAATCAAGGCTGCAAGGGGAGCCAGGAACAGAGAAGTACGCATTGAGAAGGACCTCGGTACTGACATGTTCTGCTGTATCATATAGTTATGGCGCATTACATTCAATCTATCATTCAGTTATGCCAGGATTTACTAGATTATAAGCACACCACCCTGGAAAAACGTGTTTTGTTAGAAGCGCATGTGCACTTATATCCAGGGGAAAAAAATAATCCCCAAATATAAGACAATAACTCATTGTTCTGCCTGGCTCAAAAACATACAACCATAGGTCCCAACACATCCTTGAAGCTCTTATCAAAATTCTCAGGGAACTTCTGACTAGCCAGCTGGCCACTGTTCTGTCTTGAGAATTCTCAAAAGTGATTTCATTATAACTTCCGACTAGCCAGCTGGCCATTGTTCTGTCTTGAGAATTCTCATAAGTGATTTCATTATAACTTCCGACTAGCCAGCTGGCCATTGTTCTGTCTTCTTCAAGAGTAGTCAAGCACTGGGCGCAACACATCCTTGAAGCTCTTATCGAAATTCTCCTCGGAGAATCGCTTGGCCCGCTCCCTGCCAGCTGTCGCTATCCGCTCCCTCTCCTCCACTGACATGGCGAAAACCGCCCGCATGGCAACAGTGTATTCGTCCTCGGTCATCGCCAAATACCCTACAGGACAGCCTGATGAGTCCGCTTCTAGCTGGCCCTTCCAAATCAACGGCTCTGATTGCTCCCCTTCGCCTCCCTCCTTGTCTCCCTCCCCATCTCCCACCTCTCCCCCCTTCTCCTGCCCGTCTTCTTTTCTCCCCAGACCAGCATGAAAGGCCGGCACGACAATGTCCATTTTCGGGCCGGCAGAGTTGTGGGCTGCAAGAAGCAACAGAGCAGACAGAGGAACAGATATTGGAAACACAGCAGTGTGGGTGTGTGAGACGGTCATCTCCCTCCTCACCTCCCCTCTTCTCCTGCCGATCTTCTTCTTTGCAACCAGCATGGCAGGCCGGCACGACAATGTCCATTTTGGGGCCGGCAGAGTTGTGGGCTGCAAGAGGCAACAGAGGAGGCAATGGAAACACAACAGTGTGGGTGAGACGGCCATCTCCCTCCTCCCCAGACCAGCATGGCAGGCTGGCACGACAATGTCCATTTTGGGGCCGGCAGAGTTGTGGGCTGCCGGGAAGAGCAGAGCAAACCAAGGAACAGCGGAACGAGACACACAGGAGAAGGAAAAAGATTGTGTGGGTAAGATGGGTCTTCCTTGTCCTTCTCATCTCCCTCCTCGTATCCCAGAAAGACGGGGTGATATGGGTTTCCCTGTCCTCCTTTTCTCCTGTACCCAGCATGGCAGGCCAGCACTAGAATGCAATGTCCATTTTCAGGAGCACCACACGCGCCGACTTTCGAGTCGACTCAAAAGTAGCCAGCACTGCAATGTCCATTTTCGGGAGCACCACACGCGCCACCTTCCCTACAGGTAGGGGAGCACCACACGCGCGATGGGTGTGTGTGGCATGTAATGTACCTGCAGGTGGCACCTACCATGCAATCGAGCTACACTGGTGCCAAAATGCTCATCCCACATGGTGTGGTGTGGTGTGTAATGCATCCCACGGGTGGCACTGGCACTGGCACCTACTGTACCAGTCACCAAGCCTCTAGTGCCACCCAGCACCCACCTATGAGGTGACTTTTGAGTCGACTCAAAAGTAATGCATCCCACGGGTGGCACTGGCACCTACTGTACCAGTCACCAAGCCCCTGCTGCCACCCAGCACCCACCTATGGGGAGGGCTCCGGCTGCCATGCAATTTTTGAGGCACTGATGCCAAAATGCTCCGGCTGCCATGCAGTCGAGCTACACTGGTGCCAAACTGCTCATCCCACATGGTGTGGTGTGGTGTGGTGTGGTGTGGTGTGGTGTGGTGTGGTGTGTAATTAACCTTACACGAGGCACCTTCCCTACCTGTCACGAAGCACCACATGCACGATGGGTGTGCAATCCTATGGTATGGAATGATAAACAAACACCCACCGATGGGCACAGCCCCTGCTGCCATGTATTCGACCATGCTGATGCCAAAGTGCCCATCCCACATGGTGTGTATGCCGCAGGTGGCGCCTACACCAGGTGATGCCTACCCGAGTCGTAGCCATTACCTTGCAGCGGATGCACCCACCTATGGGAACAGCCCCGGCTGCCATGTATTCAACGACGCTGATGCCCATCTCGTCCCACATGCTGTGTACCCCACAGGTGGTGCCTACCTGAGTGGTGGCACCGGTTGCCAGGCACCAGTTGACCTCTGGGTACAATAAGCGTACCGCTACAATAGACCCACCGATGGGGACAGCCCCGGCTGCCATGTATTCGACCACGCTGATGCCAAAGTGCTCGTCCTACATGGTGTGTATCCCACCCACAGGTGCCATTTCCCCTAGAAGTCGCCAGATCCAAACACCTTCTGTCCAGGATACGCACCTATGGGAACAGCCCCTGCTGCCATGTATTCGACCACGCTGATGCCAAAGTGCTCGTCCCACATGGTGTGTATGCCGCACGTGGCGCCGCCTAACAGCTGTTGCAGCTCCCTGCCATGCAATGACAAACACATGGGTGCAGTGCGGTAGAAGGAAGAGTAGAAACGCGCACACATGGGTGCAATGCGGTAATAGGGAGCAACGAACACCCAGGCACATGGTGAGTAGTAGTAGCCCGCAGGTGGCGCTGCCTCGTAGCTGGTGCAGCTCCTGCTCCAGGGAGACTTTTGAGTCGATTCAAAAGAGGTGACTTTTGAGTCGATTCAAAAGAGGTGACTTTTGAGTCGACTCAAAAGAGGTGACTTTGAGTCGACTCAAAAGGCGCCTCGTAGCTGGTGCAGCTCCTTCTCCAGGGAGCTGCAAGGATCTTTTTTAGAATTGTTAAAAAAACAATCTCTGCAGCTCCTGGGCTCTACTGATTACTAAAACCACCTGAAGGGAGACTTGACGATGAAGTCAACGCGTCTCTCTATTACGGTAAGAAAGACGATGCCAGTCACCCCAGCAGCTCGATCTGCCTCTCATCCTCCCGGTGCCAGCTGCTGCCTACTGGGTTCACACACACACTCTGAGGTGATGTGCTGTGCCACTCCCCCACCTGAAGGGAGAGTTGACGATGAAGTCAACGCATCTCTCTATTACTGTAAGAACGACGCTGCCAGGCACCCCAGAAGTTCAATGCGCTTCTCGTCCTCCCTGTGCCTCAAGGGAGTGTTGAACCTCACACTCAAATAAAGGGAGTGTTGAACCTCACACTCAAATAAAGGGAGTGTTGAACCTCACACTCAAATAAAGGGAGTGTTGAACCTCACACTCAAATTAAGGGAGTGTTACCAATGAAGTCAACGCGTCTCTCGATTCCAAGAGACACCGCTAGGCACCCCAGCAGCTCGATCCGCCTCTTGTCCTCCCGGTGCCGGCTGCTTGTCTGTCTTGAGTGAACAAAACCCACCAGCTTCGCTCTTCACACACACACACACGTGCCTTGACTTGACCCATGCACTAAGGTACCTGAAGGGAGTGTTGACAATGAAATCAACGCGTCTCTCTATTCCAAGAGTCACGGCAAGTCACCCCAACAGCTGAATACGTTTCTCCTCCTCCTGGTGCCGGCTGCTGCTGCCTACAAGGTTCACACACACACACACACACATACCTCGCTGTTCTGCGTTGAATAAGTTACCTGAAGGGCGTGTTGACGATGAAATCCACGCGGTCTCTCTACTCCAAGAGGCACCGCCAGGCACCCCAGCAGCTCAATGCGCTTCTCGTCCTCCCGGTGCCGGCTGCTGCCTACTGGGCGTGCACCCCAGCAGCTTTTGAGTCGACTCAAAAGTCGCTGCTGCCTACTGGGCGTGCACCCCAGCAGCTCGATACGCTTCTCGTCTTCTTGGTGCCGGCTGCTGCCTACTGGGTTCACACACACACGCACACATACCTTGCTGCTCTGCGTTGAATAAGTTACCTGAAGGGCGTGTTGACAATGAACCTAGTTTTGAGTCGACTCAAAACTCGACCCAAAACTGAGTCGACTCAAAACTAGTGCCGGCTGCTGCCTACTGGGTGTGCATACACACGCACATACCTTGCTGTTCTGCGTTGAATGAGTTACCTGAAGGGAGTGTTGACAATGAAATCAACGCGTCTCTCTATTCCAAGAGTCACGGCAAGTCACCCCAACAGCTGAATACGTTTCTCCTCCTCCTGGTGCCGGCTGCTGCTGCCTACAAGGTTCACACACACACACACACACATACCTCGCTGTTCTGCGTTGAATAAGTTACCTGAAGGGCGTGTTGACGATGAAATCCACGCGGTCTCTCTACTCCAAGAGGCACCGCCAGGCACCCCAGCAGCTCAATGCGCTTCTCGTCCTCCCGGTGCCGGCTGCTGCCTACTGGGCGTGCACCCCAGCAGCTTTTGAGTCGACTCAAAAGTCGCTGCTGCCTACTGGGCGTGCACCCCAGCAGCTCGATACGCTTCTCGTCTTCTTGGTGCCGGCTGCTGCCTACTGGGTTCACACACACACGCACACATACCTTGCTGCTCTGCGTTGAATAAGTTACCTGAAGGGCGTGTTGACAATGAACCTAGTTTTGAGTCGACTCAAAACTCGACCCAAAACTGAGTCGACTCAAAACTAGTGCCGGCTGCTGCCTACTGGGTGTGCATACACACGCACATACCTTGCTGTTCTGCGTTGAATGAGTTACCTGAAGGGAGTGTTGACAATGAAATCAACGCGTCTCTCTACTCCAAGAGACACCGCCAGGCACCCCAGAAGTTCAATCCGCTTCTCGTCCTCCCGGTGCCGACTGCTCCCCACCAGCTTCAGACGCACGCCAGCCATCGGATCGGGCTCCGATTGAGCGTCAGCCGTTGGATCGGATGGTGGTGCAGGCTTTATGGCCTGTGCAAAGGCTCGAAGCTGCAATGCGTGGTTCTGAGAGAGAGAGGGGGGTTGTGGAGGGAGGAAGAGAATGGGCCGAGGAGAGGGTTGGGTGGGGGGGAGAAGTAAGTGGGATGGCTTTTGCAAAGGCTCGAAACTGCAATGCGTGCTTCTGAGAGAGCGAGGGGCGGGAGAATGACCGGGGTAAGGGACTCAATTCGATCCTAAGATAGAAACCATTGTTTACAGTGGATGGATGGATGACATGCAAGTCTTGTGTGTTGGGTGTGCATTGCAGTGCAGGCCGCAGGACCTCTCGTCAAGCATCCCAAAGAGGTGCAGGAGCTGTCAAAGGAGGACACCGCGAAAGTCACTGCAAGTCTTGTGTGTTGGGTGTGCATTGCAGTGCATGCCCTCTCTTCAAGCATCCCAAACGGTGAAGCGCGGACGCAATACAGTACACGCACATGCTGCAGATAGCAACATTTTGAGACGTCTCAAAAGCAATACAGTACACGCACATGCTGCAGATAGCAACATGCACGCCACGCCTTCCCTTTTTGGATTCCTTCACGCATGATGTGCTCTATGAAAGCCATGCTTAGTTTACTTGAACGGCAAAAACACCACGCTTAGTTTTTCATACGTTGGAAGATAACTGTAGTTAATTTTTGCACGAGCCTTGAAACTTCTCTGGTCGCAACTGCGAAATGGAGATTATATATCTTCACACGGGGCGAGATTGATAGCTAGACTGTGCGTGAGATACAGGAAAGCACAGGGATGAGAGTGTGAGATGTACACATAAAAAAGTCTGCACCGTACAGGAATGAGCGTGTGAGAGGGCAAGAGCTGTGTACCTTTTCTGGCCGGAACTGGGCAACGGAGATGATGTATTTTGACGCGGGGCGGGAGAGAGGAAGTGCCTGGAAGGGTGAGAGGGAGGACGGCATGCACGAGGGAAGGGCGGAGGAAAGGAAGGAGGATAAATGCCATTTCTTTCGCCAAGGATTCGCATCTTTACTGGTCGGAACTCGGCAACGGAGATGATGTATTTTGATGCGGGGCGGGAGAGAGGACTGGAAAGGTGGAAGGGAGGACGGGAGGAAGGACGGAGGGACCGAGGAAAGGAAGGAGGATACATGCCATTTCCTTAGGGAAAGGACTGCATCTTTTCTGGTCGGAACTGGGCAACGGAGATGATGCATTTTGACGCGGGGCAGGAGAGAGGAAGAGCCTGGAAAAGTGGAAGGGAGGACGGGAGGAAGGAGGGAAGGACCGAGGAAAGGAAGGAGAATAAATGCCGTTTCCTTAGGAAAAGGACTGCATCTTTACTGGTCGGAACTGGGCAACGGAGATGATGTAGTTTGACGCGGGGCGAGAGAGAGGAAGAGCCTGGCAGGGACAGTGGTCGTGTGACTCAAAAGTCATCTTGTTGCAGGTTGATACATGCCCTGGGCTTGTATTAGACAAGTGATGAGGTGACTTTTGAGTCGACTCAAAAGTTGCCCTGGGCTTGTATTAGACAAGTGATGAGGTGACTTTTGAGTCGACTCAAAAGTTGCCCTGGGCTTGTATTAGACAAGTGATGAGGTGACTTTTGAGTCGACTCAAAAGTTGCCCTGGGCTTGTATTAGACAAGTGAACCGTTACTTGAATAAGCAGATGAGGACACTGTAGCTTTGAACCAGAAAAACGAGTAGGTGCTGTTGGGTTGGGGGGGGACACAAAGAGGGGACTCCAGTGTCTTCATCTGCTGATGTCGCTCCCCTGTGCTCTTGATTCATTCCAATCAAGAAGCAGCAATTTACTCACCTGGAGAGCAGCGGTGTCGCAGGGGGGGTAAACCCAGTGCAAGGATCTCGGCTTGTTGCGCGTCCAGATTCGTCGAATCTACAACACGCCACTACTCTCACAGGTTGGTCGGGTTCAAAACCACAGCACACGCAGTGCATACCTGGAGAGCAGCGGTGTCACATGGAGGGTACAGCCGGTGCACGGAGCTCGGCTTGTTGCGCATCCAGATTCATCGAATCTGCGGCACCTTCGCAAACCAAGTAATACTTCGAACAACAACCAGACACTCACCTGCAGTGCAGCGGTGTCGCAGGGAGGGTACACCCGGTGCACGGAGCTCGGCTTGTTGCCAACTCAGATTCTCTGGTTTAAACCACCAACTCACCTGGAGAGCAGTGGTGTCACATGGAGGGTACACCCGGTGCACGGAGCTCGGCTTGTTGCGCGTCCAGATTCGCCGAATGTGGCCCTCGGTCCACGATGAGTTGACCATGGTGATGTCAGCGTGCCCACCCGCCCACCCGTACAGGAGGGCAAAGAAGCGGTAGTAGTAAAGCTTGGAGGAGGAAAGGATGGCGCTGGGATAGAGAATGGGAGGGAGGGAGTGGAAAAGAACGCAAGGCGGGAGTTGACCATACCAATGAATTCAGTGTGCCCCCACCCCTTAACCGCGGAGGAAGGCGAAGAAACGGTAATAGTAGCGCTTGGAGGAGGTAAGGATGGAGCTGGGATGGGGTGAGAGGGCAGTGGAAAGGAAGACACGAGATAGCAGGTTGAGTGTGTGTGGCCCTCCCCTCATTCAAGGAACTCTCGAGTTGACCATGGTGACGTCAGCGTGCCTACCCGCCCACCCACCCACCCACCCACCCACCTGCTTGCCACAGTACCGTCATTATCATACATGCTGGTGCGCTACTGCACTCGCTTCGC